TTCAAAGAGCGACCTCATTCCTGTTGAGAACTACCAGTAGACCCTGAAGGATGTGTAGGATATCCATATTTGATGTTGGGATGGGAGAGGAAATAGGACAAGCAAAGGGAGTAATGTGAGCTAAGAGTTCAGTCTGAATAAAGCAAAGAATGTGTGCTGAGTGGCAGTGGGAGGGGATTTATGGTGAGAATGGAAGGGTGAGTCCAAGTTATTGAGAAACTTGAGATATTAGATAAAGCACTTGGCCTTATTCTCTTGCCATTGGGAAGCCACTTAAGATATCAGCGCAGGGTCCTTGAGAGTAGAAACCTAGCCTCGTCTTATCACTGTGCATCAAGTAGACATCAGTGATGTTTTTTGAATGAATGAATGCCCCAGGCAAGTCATTTGCAAGAGTTGGACCAGTTGGTACCTGAGTTTTGCCATATCTAGGATCCTATGGTCCTAGCAGAGCCTGGCAGTCAGCATTTGGACTGTAGGAGAATAGGCGAAGAGGGCACGACAGCCTGCCACACAGATACTGTCTCCAAATCCAGGTGAAAGTGCGTGCTCACTAGTAGTTGCCTACACTAAAGAGAGAAGCGAATGTCTTAAGAATCTTGAAGGAAAGAGAGATTCTTCCATTGCCCTCCCTCGTGGAGCCCACAGGCCTTGAGGTATGTAAGGTGCATACTGTGCAGTCTGCATTAATGCTCTTGCATTTTGAGCTTATTAAAAATTGCCAATCAAAGTAGCAATTTGCTGACAAGGTTCATGGGCTGTGGCCATGACTGCAGTGCTTCTTGGGGAACGGCTTGCTGGTCTGTATGGTGATGCTGTCACATAGTGTTCCCTGTGCCATCTGTAGAGTCATGGTGGCTTTTGTTGTTTGTAGTTGGTGAGGAAGATTGACTCTGAGCTAACATCCGTTACCAGTCTTCCTCTTTTTGCTTGAGGCTTCATGAGCGGTGTGTAGGTCCACAACCGGGATCCAAACCTCTGAACCCTGGGCCAGTGAAGCAGAGCATGCGAACTTAACCACTATGCCACTGGGTTGACATGGTGGCTTTTTGACACTTGGGTGGATCCTTCCTTTTTTTAGCAAAGTTCGGGTGGAACTGACCAAACACATATGTAAGACATTACCTTGTTTGTTCCTCTCTAAGGTTTCATTTCTGAAATCTTTCAGGAGGAGAGAGAAAGGGGTGTGTAGATGTATGGCATGACCCCAGAGTCCTCATTTTATGGCTCAGAGAAAGAAAGTGATTTGGGCAGGGTCACAGTAAGCTAGCCGCAAGGCCAGCACCTTCTATAGCAGGGTTTCAGTTGCGCTCTGCTGCTGCAGGAGAGACTGTAGTGTGCACGGGCTCTGGAGCCAAGAGCCTGCACTGGCTGCTGGCTCAGCTACTTCTTATATTATAGACCCTCAGGTTCTTCATTTGTAAAATAGATGTCATGGTCATATCTGACATTATGCATTTAAAAAGGTGGGGCATGTGAAAAGATTGATCAATGACACAGAAATACAGAAATGTCTATTTATCATGATGTGCCTGTTTATGGACCAATAATTGTTGGGACCATCTTTAGAGAAAGGATGGGGCAGTGAAGACACTGCTGACCGCACCCCAAGCACAGAAGACTCCTAACAGGTCCGCTTCTCCACTGCACAGTAAAGAAATTTTGTGCTCAGATTCAGAGGCACAGCATGGGGTGGGGGGTGGGGGATCATGGCCAAATCTTGGAATTGTAAGGAATTGGGGGTATGCTCTTGCCTGGAGCCAGGGGTTCACGTAGCAATATAATGGGAGATGTGGCTGGAAAGATGGGTTGGGGCCCATTCTGGAGGCCCTGAGTGCTGGCCTGAGGGCAGCTGGGCAGTATTTTTTGTGCAGTTCAGGCCACTGGTGAGGAGTCAGCTAGGAGAGTGGTGATGAAATGGGGGTTAACCCAGCAGCACCTTCAGGATGTCCGGGGAACCTATGGCAAAGCTCAGATGAGAGACAGAGAATCTTGAAGTTGGAACAGGGGCCTCAACACGGGGGGATTCCCAAGTTTTGGTCACATTCTAAGTTATTTTTTGCAGTGGTTCAACTTTTTGCTTGAGGTTATAATAAAAATGATAATATTTTATAGAGGTATAGAGCAGTGAAGTTTTCAAGAGCTTTCGCAGTTGTTAATTTCTTGGTCCTACTCAGCATCATGGGGAGGTAGAAGGTGGATTGTTCTTATCCCTGTTTTACAGAAAAGGAAATCGAGGCCCAGAGAGCAGATGGCATTTCTCAGCCACTCAGCTGGTGGGTGTGGAAGCCGGGAGCTGGGATAGCAACTCTAACACTTCCTCCTGTGCTACTGACCTGGAACACTGTTTTTCTCAAACTCACTTTCTGCACGCTTGACATCCTTGGAAGCCTAAAACGGCCATGAGTGTCAAAGATTCCAGAGACAAGCTGTAAGAGTTTTCAAAGATGAGCTGTAGGGAATTTGGGACACAAAATATGTTCCTCCCTCCAGCTTATTATTGCCATCATATTGTTTGTTCAGGTTGAAAATGTCCATGAGAGCAAGGAAGGAAAGAAATGGGCCCCTATCCTTTATCGAGTATCTTCTTTGCCTTCAACACAATGCTACCTACTTCTCTACCTGTGGACTTAGATAAGTTTAGCGATGTGGTGATCGTAACACAGTGTTTATTGTGGGCATTGTACAAGGTAACTTATGCATATTAAATTAGTTAACTTTTATGAAAACTTATTAGGTGGATAACAGTATTATTTCCTATTTTACAGATGAGAAAACTGAGGCTTAGCAAGATTTAAATAACTTGCTTGTGAGAACACAGGGCCTAAATAGATTATAATGCAAGCTTTCTAATTTGAGAACTCTTTCTTCCCTGTTACACCATGTATTGCCCATTTCACTGGTAAAAGTGCAGAGCTGCTTATGAAGGAGGTACTTCTCAGACAGAGGTTACTGGAATCAGAGCTGGAAGGTACTATGAAGAGCTCAGAGGGCTGGTGGTTTTCAAGCAGTGCTCCCCTGAGCCTGGGAGACTCCAGGGGTGGCCTTGGGGTTGGGGTGCTGAGTGTGGGAGATGACAAGTGGTGAGAAGAGTACGAGCGGACAGGAACTCAAGTTCAGCCTGAGCAGCTCTGCTGTTACCTAATTTACAATCTGAGCATCTGCAAAGCACTTTGTTCAAAGCAGAAAAAAAGTTTGAAAACCACTGTGCTAGCCCAGGCTGGCCTTTTACCAAGGCTGAGAGACAGAGTGGCTTAGCACAAGTCACAGTTGTGAGGGATCCCGGAGCTTCTCCCCTTTTTCTAGGAAATGTGCATTCTGCCCACCTCTCTCTGAGGCTTTTGGAACGCCAGCTGCAGTTTCATGGTCATGCAGCCTCTGAGTAGCTGCAGAACCTGAGGCTGCCCCATGTGCGCCATCCTTGACCTGTATCTTTCAACTTAGCTGTGTGTCCCTTTGGACCTTGAGACCTTGCTTGAGATTAGTTCAATTTCTGTGCAGAAGAGAGTGGAAATTACAGCCAGTATTGTGTGACCTCGCTGGCCCAACCTTCAGAGGCATTGTTCAACTGAAAACATGTAATTATTGAGTGTCCACTGTTTGCACAGTGCTGAGAACACAGGCAAGGTTTCTGACTCCAAGGGTCTGGTGGGGAGACAAACAAATAAGGAATTTTGCCAACTGTTTTTGGAGATAGTTATGTTTGTTCTATACGATTATTATGTGTGATAGTTCTGTGGGGATGAGTTCATCTTATATGAATAGGACAGGGAGAGTGGGCAATGGGAAAGAGGGTTAGAAATTGGAGAGCACGTTCTAGAAGTGCAAAGGGTTGAGTTGGCATTGTGAGTTAGTTAATCCAGTTACTTCCAGTTACTCTGCAGTTAATTCTCTTCCAGTTATTCTCTCTGAGACTTGCCAGGTTTACTTTTTCTTTAATACTTCATTTCCTCATCTGTAATGGGGGATGGGACTGCCTAGCTCACAGGGTTCTTGATGGGATTCAATGGGATAATATATGCAACCTGCTTAGTACGATGCTCCGCAATGGAGTAAACGCTCATTAAATTGTAGTTGTTATTGTTGTTGTTATTATTATTTGGCAGTGAGCAGCCAAAGAAACTACTTTTTTAAGTTGATCAATGGTGTGATCAGAGCTTTACTTCTCAGAAAAATCATTCTGCTTTTAGAAATAGAATCTCCCCAAATCCCCCCAGTACATAGTTGTATATTTTAGTTGTGAGTCCTTCTAGTTGTGGCATGTGGGACGCTGCCTCAACATGGTCTAAAGAGCAGTGCCACGTCTGCACCCAGGATCCAAACCCTGGGTCGCCGGAAGCGGAGCGTGCGAACTTAACCACTCGGCCACGGGGCCAGCCCCTAGAAATAGAATCTAATCACCTTAGCCTACAACAATTATTTGGCTTCAGGTTACCTTTCTGAGTTACCTCTGTTTTGTCTCCAGCCATCTGCCCACTTCTCCCACTAGTGGCTCACACATCTTCCAAACTTGCTCTTCACTGGACATAGCTCCTCATTGCCTTCAAATCTTTCCTTTCACCTGGAAAGTCTATGCTCCCTCACCCCCTACTCTCCCTGTCCCATTCTCTTTTAATACCTAGCCTAGAAGTCCATCCCTCTCATTGAGGGAGAGACCCTACTGAAGTCTGAACTCATGGAGTCTACTACGTCTTGTCCTGCGTTATGATCAGCCTCTCTCTCCTACTGTGCCTGCGAGCTCCTTGAAGTTGTCTGCATCTCACAGCCCTTTACTGTGGCATCCCTGGGGGTGCTGGCACACACTCTTATTAGGTGCCCAAACATCTATGCAACAAATTAATTTCGTGCCTTTCTTCAGCGTTAAGCACAAGGAAGTAGATGATAAAATGTAAACCAGAAAGCAATCATCTTTGAGCTGTGTGCTCATCAGCCTTGGGAATGGATTTTTGGGGAAGATCCGGCCCCTCCATAAATGACATCAATGACTTGGATCTTTGCAGAAATTGAAGAGAATCCTGATGACCAGTGTATTGGGAGAGGCCTGAAGGAAGATAGACCAACGGCTGCACTCTCAGAGCTTCTTGGGTGACCTCTGGCTCCCAGGTGATCTGCCGCAGGACCTCTGGTATGTAAATGGTCGTCTCTGCTGCCTGGGATGCCCAGAATTCCAGGTTGAGCCTCTGTGAGCTGGGCTGGGAGGCTTAACGGGTTGGAGATTTCTATCTTTTTGGTATCTGCAACGTGAAATATCCTGTGCCCTTGATTAATTCATGCTTGGTAGCTCCCTTCGTGCTCTCTGGTAAATAGCTCCTTTACTGTACGTTTATTTCCCCGTGGATTAATTGCAGAGAAACTGGAGCCTGTGTTTCTAACAGCTTCTCCAAGGAAAACATCACAGGTCACGTTTCCAGAACTGAGGCTCTCAGGGGGTCTTGCAAACGTCCTTCTCTCTTACCTCCTTTTGGCCCGGCATTTGCTTGTAGCTGAAAAGGGAGACTTTGTCTGGAGCAGTCCTGTAGACATATGTGACTTGGCGGTTGAAAATCTGACAGTTGCTGCTGAACTTCAACTGCAAGAGTGAGTAGCATATAGACAGAACCCTGTAGAACCTCAAATCGTTTCCTTTTAATTCCCAGAGCCTTAATGTTTCTTTGTCTTGAGAATGACCTCACTGCTTTTTGTATTTGTAATGGAATGCACAGTCATTTACAAGTAATCACACAATAATCCCATACGCGCTTGTAAAGCCTTCTCCGTTTTCCAGAGGGCTTTCACTCCCATTATCTCATTTGATCCTCATTACTGCTCTGAGAGGTAGACAGAGGGGCTATTTTAATCTCTAATTTTCAGGTGTAGAAGCCGATGTTTGGAAAAGTGAAACAGTTGGCCAGAGGTCATATAGTTAGTATGCAGCAGAACTGGAACTGGGAGCTCCAGTGGTCTACATCCTAAACCAGAGTCCTTTTTACTACTTACTGTTGGGGTGACCTTGGGAAGATAACCTCTCTGAGCCTCAGTTTCCCTATCACTAAATTGGGTATAACACTACCTCTAGGGGTGATGGCCAGTAGAGATGAAATGAGACTGTCTGGGAAAGCATTTACTGAACAGTAAAGCGTGCTTCTAATGTGAGGCATCAGTACCTTGTGTACCTTGAATCTAAATAGTGCCATCAGAATTGTGGCAGAAAAGAACATTTTCTTCCCCCTTTTTGTAAAGATCCAGAATGGTGCTAGAGTTGTCAGGGATCACAAGCTCCCAGCCCTGGGATCAGCAAATTGGCCCTGCTGTCCTGCCGGCAGGTCACTTTGTTGTTCTGAGAGCTCTTGTCCTGGCAAGGCCCGCTCTTCCTACAGAGCTCTCTCTTAATGTCCCTTGGAACAGCCTTGTATCCTGGAGACAGTTGTAGGTCTGGCAGGGCCCGAGAGCAGGAGTGGGGAGCTGGGAATTGGATCTGCATCCCTGAGCTTTGTCCATAAAGAATGGGAACCTGGCGTGGACGATGGGGTAGAGTTGGATGGAGAACTGGTCTCAAAGGTTTATCTTCTCTTGTTTCTCAATGACTGGGATTTAATAGGGTATATCCTGTGAATCCACAAGGCTAGAGGTACATGTGCAGAATGGGTTGCTTGGCAGTAACGCTTATGGAAAAACCCAGAAAGGATGGATTTCAAGTTGGCAACAGATGCATTAGGACTTAGCAATGTGGCATGGTCAGGAAACAGCCCAAGTGACCAAGGGATGAGATGTCACACAGCTTCATTTCTGTATCCATATTCACTTTCAAAAATTCTAAACCAGTGAGACAGGTATAGGTTATTTCTATGGTTCCAAGAGGCAGAATTGGGAGCAGGAGGTTGATGGCTAGGGAGCCAGATTCTGTTTCAAGATAAGGAAGAACTTTGTTGGGAAGACGGAATTTACAGCTTTAGGAGATGATGATCTCCACCTCACTAGAGACCTCAGAGATATCACGGGGGCGGTTGATAAACAGGAGGGACATTGGGCCTCAGTGGCCTTTATGATCTTTTCTCTTCTTGGCATCCCAGAGCCAGTGGTTCTCCATGGTCAAGAGGAGGAGAGGCCCATCCACATTAAGGAATGAAGGGCCCTTTGGGGATATGGAAACTGGTCTTCAAATGCTATTTGCGAAGTGGAGGGTGGATATGGGCCCTTCAGTTCTGGATTTCATACTTATCCCTGTAGCTCCTTCCTTGGTCCTTGGCTTTCAGACTTCTCGGGTCATCCTGGGCAGCTATTTTCCATGGAATATCTCTTTCCTATGCTGAAATGCTCCTGTTAGGATATTAGAAGGGATCCATCCTTGATAGGATGACAATCTTTCTACAGAACCACCAAGGCTGATGGCCGGCTAGTCTTCTCAGTTACAAATGAGGAGCATCCCTTTACCTTCTTTTGGCCCACCTCTAGGATCTCCTGGGAGTACTGCAGTGGCAAGAATTCTGTACTGAGTTCTGGTTCTGGCATATGGTGGAAGATTCTTGGATCCTGTTTCCTTATGCCATTTAATGGTCACTTATATTGGTGCCCATTTATTAAACATGCAGTAAATAATTGTTTGCTTTTTTTCAAGTACTTGTGGCATGCTTGCAAAAATATAAAACAAGTAATCAAAATAAATGTTACGACTATTTGGATAGACCAAGTAGAAGCTGCTTTTAGAGCTCACAGTTGGACAATTTGGGGATATCTATCCAGTTTGTAGATGAGAGAATATAAGCTAGAAGAGGAAAACTGATTTGTCCAAAATCTTAAGGAGTGCCTCTTCTGGGCTTAGGGCTTGGGTCCCCTCACACTCTGACCAGTGCTGTTGATTGCTTGAAGATTCCCTGAGAATGAGAACCAGCAGCCTCATGGGGCAAGCCCAAAAGTCAGGAAGTAGGTGATGATTCTGAAAAATGGCTCATCTGACCTATAGAAGCCTTTATAGCCTACAGTAGAACAAGATCACGCTAAGAAATTAGAACATTGGGAAGCCAAGATGTGCTTTCCCTTCTCTGAGCAGATCCCTCCTTCCCACTTTGCTATTTTCCTCAGCTGCTCATCTCTCTTCTTTCTCATCCTCTAATTCAGTCTGGAGTCATTTATGTTTTTATTTTTATTATTATTATTTTATTTTTTATTTATTTTTATTTTGAGGAAGATTAACCCTGAGCTAACATCTGCTGCCAATCCTCCTCTTTTTGCTGAGGAAGACTTGCCCTGAGCTAACATTCGTGCCCATCTTCCTCTACTTTCTATGTGGGACACCTGCCACAGCATGGCTTGATGAGCAGTACCATGTCTGCACCCGGGTTCTGAACTGGTGAACCCCAGGCTGCCGAAGAAGAACATGCGAACTTAACTGCTGAGCCACTGGGCCCACCCCTATTTTTAAAATTTTTTTGTGAGGAAGATTGGCCCTGAGCTAACATCTGTTGCCAATCTTCCTCCTTTTGCTTGAGGAAGATTGTCATTGAGCTAAGACCTATGCCAATCTTCCTCTGTTTTATGTGAGATACTGCCACAGCGTGGCTTGACGAGTGGTGCTAGGTCCACGCCTGGGATCCAAACCTGCAAACCCCGGGCTGCTGAAGTGGAGCACGTGAACTTGACCATGACACCACCAAGCTGGCCCTGGGAGTCATTTTAGACCAGATTCATTCCTGACTGACTTCACTGCTCCTCCTTCACTTCACAGGACCTTCGGATTGGAATTAATCTTATAAATTAAATTAGACATTCCACCCTCCTACCCCTGAACCCTCTAATGCTGTCCTGAAAGTCTGCTCTTATTCTGGGTCTTCCTGCTTCGTGTCTGTCCTATGAAGAACTCACCCGAAACTAAGTTCCCAGGAGGACTCTTGGGCAAAGAGTCGGGCATTGGAGTCCGAGGGTGGAGATTGCTTTAGGACTCGTCTGCCACCCAAAGAACTGCCGCCTGGCTTCTTGGTGACCTCTTCAGGTGCATCCCCCCAAACACCTTCCCCAAATTAATAGACTGACTTCATAAATGTAGTTGCATTCTAGGTGGCCTCATTCCTAAAGTGAATTTAAATCCTTTCAAACCAGTTGCTTCCTTGTTTGGGCGGGAGAGACTTTTCTCTGTAACAGGGGGGCATGTGGCAGAGTTAAGACTCCACTTCTTTTGGGGTTAATCATTTACTCCGAGTAAGGAATTCTGTCTTAAGTGGGGCATGTTCTTCAAGGGCCAGGGGAGAGAAGGGTGATTTTTCCGACATCCTCCAGCCTGCCTCTCCATATATGGAAATGTTTACCCACCACGCTGATCTATTGGAAGGGAAGGAGGTGACTCAGGGTTTAGAAGCAGGATTTGAATTCTTGTTTCCAGAAACAAAGTCGCCCCCCCACCCCCGCCACCACCCCCTCCCCCTCCATTCCTTTGCCCCTAGTTCTGGAAGCCGAGGGTAGAATATCTCAGTGCTGTTCCCCTCGGGCCTCAGGACCACCTCCTTGCAGTGGGACTCAGGGTGGATGAGAGGGAGTGAGGGCCAGCGGAGGGCCAGCTGCCTGTGGGGCCTGACATCGCGTGAGTACATCATTATTGCCGGAGCGAATGGCATTTCTGCTCGCAGACCCGGGGCTTACAGCCCTGAGGGCCGGCTTGCCTGCATGGTAATGGGACACGTTGCTGAGAGCACTGGCCGCTTTAATTTGGGGTGTGGACAGCTGCTTTCCCAGGGGAGTACTTGAGTTCTCCAGTGGGATTTAGAGAGGGGCTCTGCCTGGGGAAAAATTCTATTTGTATATAAAAAAATGAGACAGATTTCCTCCTACCTGAGGCCTAGAGTTGGCCAGAGAGATGGTTTGGGAGTGTTGTCATCTGTCTGATTCCTCCGGCTAAAGCAACAAGCCAGAAGGGATGTTCGTGGACACTGGGGAGGGATAGGTTTAGCTTAAAAAGCGGAGTTATGGTTGAACGTAAGAGTATGCAAAGTGTTGCAGTATAGCGTTTAGACGGCATCCACAGGCTGGAATCAATACCTGGTGTGTGGGACATTGTGTAGATCTGATGGACTGTCAGAGTTGGAGGGAGTCTCAGATTATTCAGTTCATCTGTCTCATTTTACAGCGTGATAATGGGCAGTGGGCGCCAGAGAGTGC